CACCCCTTCATTTTTTCTCTTTAACAGAGCTAGTTTCAACCCACACATGAGAAAACACAGCCCTGTTTAAGGATTCAAATGATGGACTGGAAAAGCATAATCACATGTGCTGAACTGCTAGATTTCAAATGTGAAAATATTTTCAACTAAATTTAGGGATGTTCAAGGGTAGAGTAAAGATTATAGTTTTAGCCTAGAAGAAATAGTGTTTATTTAGCAATTATGGTGGTGGTCTGAGGTAACCCACCTGCTATCACAGAACCATCTTCTCCCCACCTTGCGCAAATAGCTTGATGGAGCGTTATTCTAATTAAGAAGCACTTGGGGGATCAGTACACAGGATCCCTGTGTACAATGCTAGCCATACTTCAGGAATCAGAAGTTACTGACAGCACAATTGTACAGGATGTACACAGCAGAACTGAGCCGGGTTAAGTATGCTTGATTCTACCTGGACTCCAAAGGTTTGTGGAAGTTTTTGAAGATATTCAGGAAGTACAGAGTAAGTTAATCAGATCAGGATGCAGGCTATGGGACTACAGTAACTTTCAGTCTCTCTTTATGATGAAACATTACCTGCAGTCTCTCTTCTGTAGTCTAGCTCACCCTCTCATGAGCATCAGTTAATTAGTTAGATCATCTTCTAAAAATGATTAGGCAATGGATGCACATCCATCTTCACCTGAAGATGTGAGGCCAGGCTGCACTGCCCATACAGCTTAATTCATCTTAGCATTTCCCAATGTCTTATTTCCAGCCCAACTAATTCTTGCAAACCTAGTCCAGAATTAAGGAATGTAGAGTTCAGTGACACACATATAACATTACCAGGTTAAACAGCATATGTAACAGCGAGCTAGTCCAATGCCCTCTCCCCCTATGACTGTAGCCTTTCCACAACTGTGGATATGACAACAGCAGATATTTTAGTACCTCACATTATTTCCTATGAAATAATTTTTTGTGTTGTTGCTGCTGCTGCTGGTTAACAAAAGAATGCTACCTCCCTCTCCAGAATGTAAAGGTCAAATTAGTCTTCCAGAGTAATGAAAATTCACAAACCATATAGTCTAAATTAATGACTATAAACAGTCCATCTATGATATTAAAAAATGCTTGGTGCACCACACAGTACAGCAGGAACATCTGCCAGGGTTCCCAGAGCAACTGCTGCAGAGCTCCTCCCTAGTGCTGTATTGTTGCTCCAAGTGCCTCTTTAGGTTTTCTTCCAGCCTGGCTCAGAAACTGCCCAATTATCTTCTCATTTTCAGTTAGATATTTGTGCTTGTATTTTGAAGGTGACCTGCTCTCCTGAAGTCACTGGAGTGATTTATGAATGCTTAGGGATAAAAGAAAAACGTTCACAACATGGCTAAAAGATAAGAAAGAAAAGAAAGTTAGCAGAACACAACATAGATACTCTCCGTGGACGCTGGGGAACATAAACCACAGGGAGTTCCTGTAACAAAAATAAGAGAAAAGCAGAAAGACCAACGTGTGTGCAAGGAGAGATTTGCATAGGTGTGGGAGTGAATTACTATACTCATCCAACACTAGCACCATCTAGTGGCTGTGTATCAGCAGAATGGGGCAATTTGGAGGGCATCTTTTGATCAAAAGGCCACATTCCTTTGCCTTTACAGGCAAGCAGTTGCAAATTTGATCCTGAATCACGTGAGAAGTTGACGTGGAACAACTAAAATCTGAAATTAGTGGGGAAGATGTTTTATTGGAATGCTTGGCTAAACAAGGGATTAATATTTTAAATCATTTGATTTTTAATAGTCATTTTAAAGATTTTGAAAGATTGTTTTTTGAGTTAGACTCACTTTTAATATACACTTGGCAATCTAAACAATTGAAACGTGTATTAACTAAAGAGTATGACCCAGATGTTTTAGCAGCCTCCGAAGTACATGGAATTTTAGCTTCTTTAAGAAATGCTGCACTTGAACAGAAACCAACCATTCAATTTTATAAGGTATTAAATAGCAAAATAAAAGTTAGTTACATGTTTGATCTGTGGAAGGAAGGAAGAATTGTAATATCCAATTTTGGATAATCAATGGGACCAGGTATTACAAAGTGTGAAATACACTTCTTACGATTTAGAAATGAAACTCATTCATCAGAAAATATTATTTTGGGTTTATTGGACCCTTCAGATAATGTTTAAAAGAGGATGGACTTTAGACTTCTTATGCTGGTGTTGTAAGAAATCTGAAGATTCTTCAGCTCACATGAACTGAAGTCTTGTTTTGTTATAACTTTGGTTTGGTTTCAATTAACATGTCTGTTAATATAATTTTGGGAAGAAATATTATATTAAAGGATCTCAGCGTGTGGTTGAATTATACAGTAGTTCACTTTAGGGAATATACAACGATGCTCTATTCTATTCCGTGCAATCTTTTGAAACAGAATATAACAATTATTACAGATTAAGAAGAGGTGGAGCTACCTATCTGCCTCTCCGTCCAAGAATTCAGCTATGTTCGGGCAACTG